CCAAATGGAGTGGTTTCAGACAAATATTAGTGAATCTTATTTCTAAGCTGTGGATTTATTTGTTGTTTTTTTTTGTAATGAAACTATTAAAGAATAATTTATTCTACCCCTTTTACCTCAAGAAATGCCTTGTCCGTCTCCATGTATTTCATTTGTGCAGATATTGAGTCTTGCAGTGAGTCCCTGAGACCTTCTCCTGCCCCAATGTGGAATGGTGATTCCTTTACCTGGGTGTAGATGTGGCACTTGCTTCAGCACTTGCACCAACAGTGCCTATGTGGGTGTCTCCATAATGCTGTGAAGCAGGATTCCTAAAAAAGGATTCTACTTCTTTAGAGAAACACAAGTCATGAAGGTTTACTTCTTCCTTATGATCAGGCAGATGTTTCCCACTGAGGAACGTATCTCATTTTTTAGGTTGAGCTGAGAAGACGCATAAAATGAATTTTTAATTAATTTAAGATTCTAAAATTATATAAAAGTAGAGTTTCCTACCTAGGGAATTTAAACTATGTTGAAAACTGTTTCTTAATTTCCTTGTAGGATATTCTTATTTATGTTGTAATATCAGTAATAGTCCTTATTTCTACTTAAATAACCCATTAACCTTTTATTAGTAGTAATTTTAAATATAGGGTCTCACGTACCAACCTTAAATATGGAATTTGTTTCAAGTTAGTAAAGTTTAAATGTTGTAGTAAAGGCATCATGGGAAACCAAGACAAACACTGAGCAGAGACCAGCCATGCGAACTTCAGGCAGCCACGTGCCTGTGACTCAGACTGGCTGGGGGCACGTTGGGCAGGGCAGTACACCAAACTGTTAAGCTTTCCCAAATCTTTCAATGAGTTGAAGTCTTCCAATCTATACTATATCTCTGGTTTTAAATATTTGTTTTTGGAAGCAAGCTTAATTCAGGTATAATACAGAGAACGCTTCTGTTAACTGAGAAGCTTCTTTCATCTCCTTCATCAGAATCTAATATTTCTTCCAAATGACAAGTTCTATGACTCAGGAAATGAAACTCATTTTCCCTAGAACTCAGGCCATATAGATCTAGGATAGCCTCTAAGCTGATTTTTAGTATTTGAAAAGTCTCATTTTGAACTCTTTATTATATAAGACACACATTTTTAAAAAAGAATGTATTTATTTTTAGAGAGGGAATGGGGGGAGAAAGAGAGAGAGAGAGAACATCAATGTGCGGTTGCTGGGGGTCATGGCCTGCAACCTAGGCATGTGCCCTCACTGGGAATCGAACCTGCAATGCCTGGTTCACAGCCCGCGCTCAATCCACTGAGCAATGCCAGCCAGGGCAACACACATTTTTATATTTCAGAACATTTTGGTATGCCCACGCCCTTTCCTCAGTCCTCTCCCTCATGCATCTTTCTGTGTATATGCTGTTTAGAAGTACAAGCAACTACAGAGACAGTTTAACCCAAACAAATTCAGGAAAAGGATTCCTGAAGTCATTCTAGACAGCCTTCCTATTTAGGGGAACAGATCTGTGCATTTTCAGAGAAACCAGTCCAGCTACCCCTCCTAGACAATGTAATGGTTCTTTTATAAATTAGTGGAAAAACAGAGACAAGTAGACATTTATTTGGTGAAACCAATTAACATGGAAGAGAAAAACCACAATAAACAAACAGAACCAGAAATTTCTAAGACAAATAAGAACAGAAACAACAAATCTCAATTAGCATTCTTGTTGCAATTCAGTGTTATATCACCTTTCGTAAGACAAAAAAAGTTTTTGGACAAAATGGAAAAATCAGAGTCCAAAAAAGACTATTGAGAATATAAGGAAAAAAAATTCTAGAGAAGTCAAAAACAGGTATAGTGGGTTCATTATCTAATGCAAGTTCCAGGAAGAGAGAAAAGATACAGGGGTTGGGATGATATACTTTTTAAAGGTAGGAGAAAATTTCTCTAAGCTGCAGAAAGGATGAGGTTTTTAACCCTTTCTCCCTAAACCCCTGCCCCTAAAAAAAACCCCACAGTTAAATAGCAGTTCTAAATATATCCTGCTGAAATGTCATCATTTCCAGAATAAAGAGAATATTCTATCTCTGCCAAAGAGAAAGGAAAAACCTAACTGTCCTACAAAGGAAGGAGAATCACACTGTCTTTGGATTTCACATTAACAACCCTGGATGGTAAAGTTAAAATTAAAAAAAAAATACTTAAAATAGGAAGGGAAAAATTCAAATTTAATGTGATCCAGCATTCTTTCAATCAAGTGAGAGGGTGTGAACTCAGATTTTATTGCCATCTAAAATCAGTAATGTTTACATAAAATTATAAAATGGATCCAAGGAAGCTGTTATATTTTATATTTTTCTTTTTTTAAAACAATAGTCACTATGAAATTCTTTTTTAATAATTATTTGATTGTTGTTCAATTACAGTTGTCTGCATTTTCCCCCAACTACTCCCCCCACACCCCAGCCAAACCCACCTCCCACACTTTCTTCCATCTTTCTCCCTGGTTTTGTCCTTGTGTCCCTCATAGTAGTTCTTGAAAACCCTTCCCCTCATTATCACTTCCCACATCCCCTCTGGTTACTGTCAAAATGTTCTTAATTTCTATGTCTCTGGTTATATTTTGCTTGCTTTTTTTGTTGTTGTTGATTATGTTCCAGTTAAAGATGAGATCATATGGTATTTGTTCCTCCCTCCTGGCTTATTTCACTTAGCATAATGCTCTCCAATTCCATCCATGCTGTCACAAAGGGTAGGAGTTCCTTCTTTCTTTCTGTTGCATACTATCCCATTGTGTAAATGTACCATAGTTTTGTGACCCACTTATGTGCCGATGGGCACTTCAGTTGCTTCCAGCACTTGGCTATTGTAAATTGTGCTGCTATGAACATTGGGGTACATAGGTTCTTTTGAATTGGTTCTTGGGATATAATCCCAGCAATGGAATTGCTGGGTCAAAAGACAGTTCTATTTTTAGTTTTCTGAGGAAATTCCATACTGTTTTTCACAGTGGCTGTACCAGTCTGCATTCCCACCAACAGTGCAATAGGGTTTCTTTTTCTCCACATCCTCTCCAACACTTGTTTGTTGATCTGTTTATGTCTATCTGACTGGTGTGAAGTGGTGTCTCATTGTGGTTTTAATTTGCATCTCTCTGATGGCTAGTGATGCTGAGCATCTTTTCATATGTATCTGGGCCCTCTATATGTCTTCCTTGGAGAACTGTCTGTTCAAGTCTTTTGCCCATTTTTTAATTGGGTTGCTTGTCTTTTTATAGTGGAGTCATGTGAGTTGTTTATATATTTTAGAAATCAAGCCCTTTCTGAGGTATCATTGGCAAATATATTTTCCCATACAGTTGGTTCTTTTTTCATTTTAATGCTGTTGTCTTTGGCAATGCAGAAGCTTTTTAATTTGATGAGGTCTCATTTGTTTATTCTTTCCTTTATGTACCTTCCTCTAGGGTACATATCAATGAAGATGTCACTGCATGGAATGTCTGAGATTTTCCTGCCTATGTTCTCCTCTAGGACTTTTATGGTGTCACGACTTATATTTAAGTCTTTTATCCACCTTGAATTTATTTTTGTGTATGGTGTAAGTTGGTCATCAAGTTTCATTTTTATGTATGTAGCTGTCCAGATCTCCCAACACTATTTGTCGAAGAGGCTATTTTTACTCCATCTTATGCTCCAGTCCCTTTTGTCAAATATTAATTGACCATAGAGACTTGGGTTTATTTCTGGGCTCTCTATTCTGTTCCATTGATCTATGTGCTTGTTTTTATGCCAGTACTAGACTGTTTTGATTATAGTGGCCTTGTAATACAATTTGATGTCAGGTATTGTGATCCCTCCTACTTTGTTCTTCTTTCTCAAAATTGCTGAAGCTATTGGGGGTCATTTATGGTTCCATATAAATTTTTGAACTATTTGTTCTATATCTGTGAAATATGCCATAGGCACTTTAATAGGGATTGCATTGAATCTGTAAATCGCTTTGGGTAGTTAGGCCATTTTGATGATGTTAATTTTTCCAGTTCATGAGCATGGTACATACTTCCATTTGTTTGTGTCTTCCTTAATTTCTTTCTTCAGTGTTGTGTAGTTTTCTGAGTATAGGTCTTTTACCTCCTTGGTTAGGTTTATTCCAAGGTACTTTATTTTTCTTGTTGCTATATCACATGGGATTTTTTTCCTGATTTCCGTTTCTGATATTTCATTGTTGGTGTAGAAAAATGCCTTTGATTTCTGAATATTTGTATCCCACTATTTTGCCAAATTCAGTTATTAATTCGAGTAATTTTTTGGTGCAATCTATAGGATTTTCTATGTACACTGCCTTCTCATCTGCAAGCAATGACAGTTTTGGAAAGGTAATATATTGAAATATAAAGATTGGCAACTGAGAATTACCTAGGCAAAAAACAAAGCTAACAAAGAAATGTAAGACCAAATGTTGCTGACACAGAAAATTATGTTTTGTTTGTTTTGTTTACACAGTGAACTCTGATGAAAGATGGTCTTTTCTTCTCAGTAGGTCCAGTCCTACTATACCCAGAAGTCTATACCCAGAAGTAGATAGTACAAGTAACAGAAATTAGGCAGCAGAGGAAGATAATTGTGCTAATTTTGTAAATAGTATGACCCAAAGTCAGTAAGTCAAGACATTAAGTATCAGGGCAATAACTTCAAAAGTTATATAAATGTCTAATCACTGTGCTGTACACCTAAAACTAATGTTAAATATAACATTTTTGTCAATTGTATTAAAAAATAAAAAGACATTAAGATCTATTATTTAAGCAATGAATGTGTTAATTGAAATTACACTGGTGAACACTAGGAAATGACAACTGAGTTTCCATTCTTTCTAACTGGTTATTTTTGGAAAGAGAGACTGGAACTGTGTAAGGAAGTGGCCTGGTTGTGAATAAAAGAAGATTTTATTATAATCTTCCTTTACTTTTTAAACAAATACATGCATTATGAAATTTTTCATTTGTTTTACAGTTTTTAAGCTGAGACAGTGGGTGTGGTTTGGGGGCCATCACCTGCCCTTCTCAAGTACCACCCTGCCCTGTGCATCCTGGCTCTCCGTGGCTCCTGCTTTCTTCCAGATTTGCTTCATTGCATATCCATCACCATACCTCCACAGGTAATCTTTTTGATTTCTTTAACCCCTACATTACAATGTACCTATTGTCCTTTCCTTTTTCCTTAATCCTCGACTATCTTTACAGAGAAACTCACACTTCTTGTCTTTCTAGTCATCCCATCAATTCCCATCACCCTCAAGCCCAAAGCAAAGTGACTTCAGTTCTCTTCACATCCCCCAACAAACATATCACTTAACTGCAGCTTTGCCAGGCTTCATTTACCTATTCTCCAAAATCAAAGCCTTACATTCCATTTCTATCATATGATATCTAATCATAGGATTTATGCCTGAATCTAAGAATAAATCCTGTTGGATTTCCCAATTTTCTGTTTTTAAAATTATATTTTATTGATTATGCTATTACAGTGGTCCCAATTTTCCCCCTTTGCTCCCCTCCACTCAGCATCCGCCACTCCCTCAGGCAATCCCCACACCATTGTTCACATCCATGGGTCATGCATATATGTTATTTGACTACTCTATTTCCTATGCTGTAATTTACATCCACATGACTATTCTGTAGCTATCAATTTCTGCTTCTTAATCCCTTCATGTTTTTTGCCCATCTCCCATCTGGCAATCATTACAAAGTTCTCCATCTATAATTCTGTTTCTGTTCTTGTTTGCTTATTTTGTTTTTTAGATTCAATTGTTAATAGATATGTATTTATTGCCATTTTATTGTTCAAATTTTGATCTTCTTCAATAAGCCCCTTTAACATTTCATATAATATTGGTTTGATGATGAACTCCTTTAGTCTTTTCTTATGTGAGTAGCTCTTTATCTGCCCTTTGATTATAAATGATAGCTTGGCTGGATATAGTAATCTTGGTTGTAGGTGCTTGTTTTTCATCGCTTTGAGTATTTCTTGTCAATCCCTTCTAGCCTGCAAAGTTTCTTTTGAGAAATCACCTGATAGTCTTATCAGAACTTCCTTGTAGGTAACTGCTTTTCTCTTTCTGCTTTTAAGATTCTCTTTGTCTTTAACCTTTGCCATTTTAATTATGATATTATCTTGGTGTGGGCCTCTTTGTGTTCACTTTGTTTGGGACTCTCTTTGCTTTCTGGACTTGGGTGTCTATTTCCTTCATCAAGTTAGAGAAGTTTTCTGTTGTTATTTTTTCAAATAGGTTTTCAATTTCTTGTTCTCTCTCTCTTCTGTCTGGCACCCCCACAATGTGAATGTTGGTATACTTGAAGTTGTCCCAGAGGCTTCTTACACTGTCCTCATTTTTTGGATTCTTTTTTCTTCTAATTTTTCTGATTGGGTGTTTTTTGCTTTTTTATATTCCAAATTTATGATTTGATTCTGTGCTTCATCCACTCTACTATTTTTTTTATTTTAATTGTTGTCGCAGTGCAATTTTCTATCTTTTACTCCCATCCCAACCCACCCACCCAGCTCTCCCCTCCTCCCTCCCATTTCCACCCGCCCCTAGTTTTTATCCATGTGTCCTTTATACTTGTTCCTGTAAACCCTTCCCCCTTTCCCCTGAAATTCCCCTCTACTATTGATTCCCTGTAAACTGTGAAATTCCCTTCATTTCAATTAATGTATCCTTCATTTCTGACTGGTTCTTTTTTTATGGTTTCTGTGTCCTTTTTATGCTGTTGAAGCTCTCTTGCTCTTCCCCTCCATTCATTGAATATCCTTATAACCAGTGTTTTGAGCTCTGCACCCAATAGATTGCCTGTCTCCATTTGTTTAGATATTTTTTCTGGACTTCTGTTCTTTCATTTGGGCGTTTCTTTGTCTCCTCATTTTGGCAGCCTCTCTGTGTTTGTTTCTATGTCTGAAATAGAGCTGCTATGATTCCCTGGCTTGGTAGTGTGGCCTAATGTAGTAGGTGCCCTGTAGGGTCCAGTGGCACAGCCTCCCCTATCACCCAAGATGGATACTCAAGGTATAACCTTCATGTGGGCTGAGTATGCCCTCCTCTTGTAATTGAGCCTTGATTGCTGTTGGGACAACATTGGGAGGGATTTACCCAGGCCAGTCAGCTGCTAGGACTGGCTGTGACCTCTGATCACCAACCTCCAACCACTCTATTAGATCAGCTGTGCAGGGACCCACTCTACCGAGCAGGACTTACTTCGGCAGGGCTCTGGTGCCCACCGAGTCCACCCCTTGAGTGAGTCACTTATGGAGGTAGTTGAGTAGTGGTGCTCTGATGTGGCCTGAGGAGACAATTCAGTTCCTTCCCATATACCTCTGGTGCCTTTCATGCTGCTTCCCTGGTGCTGGTGCTCAGTGGGAGTGAGCCTTAGTAAGTCTGTGTATGGGCACTTTAGGAGGAACTGCCTGGGAATCCAGCAGTTTCTGTGTTCTGTAGCCTCAATTCCCTCTTGTTTTTATAGACATAATGTTACAGAACAAAAAAGGGGGGCCTGGAACGATATACTATTATTGAAAAAAAAAAAGCCCCCAGGTCCGTTATGTCCACCGCCAGAGGAAAGACGTCTCTCAATGCCAGAGATTCGTGAAAAGGAAAGGAAATGTTTACTTAATGCTATACAAACTTAAAGCAGTGACCTAATGTCTTTATCAAAAATCCCAAAGTCCCTTAAAACACCCACAAACTGACACAGTCCTTCCTTCCTTCCCCCTTTGCCCAGTCCAGAGTACCGTATCTCCTAAAACTGCAGGGGTCCCCACTCTGGCAAAGGCACGTGGTCCTCTCTCCCCAGGCCACGGGAGTCCCCACTCTGCCAGAGCCACATGGTTCTCACCCTCAGGGCCATGGGAGTCTTCATTCTGCTAAAGCTGTGTGGTTCTCTCCCTCTTCAATAGCTGTGATCTTCTCTGCACTTCCACAGCTACATGGTTCTCCTCCTCAGTGGCTGCTGCCTCTGGGTTTAAATCCCTGCGCCAGTGTTCCTCTGAAGCCCCATTTCCAATTCCTCCCACACTCGGCTTCACATGCCAGAACTCATACCCTTCCAGCTTTACTAGACTGCCATCATGAGTCTGGGCAGGTGTGGCCCCATGTCCTGGAGCCAATCTTCTCCAAGCTCCCACGTAGGCGCTGTAGCTGGGGGGGCGGGGGGGGGAGGGGCGGGGGGGCACCTGCCCCCAGTCATATCTTGGTGGGGAAGTTACTTCCATTCCCCTGGCTCAGAGCTTGGCCACAGCTATTTAACATATCTAAGCGACCAGCCAAAGGCTATAGATATGTTAAGTGACCACACCAGAGGTTAGCTGCAAGGCTGTTGCTATGCAAAACAGCTCTCAATGGCCCTGCTCTATTTGTCCCTTCCCCCAACCCACACCTGGGGAGTGGGAGTGAGGACATTCAAAAATCCCCTGGACACCTTGAGTTCTGGACCCCATTTCAAATTCCCATTTGGGGTCCCCCCTCTTGGCTGCACCCTGTAACAATAATTTATTATTTATTAATAATTTATTAATAATTTATTAATTAATTTACCTTCCTGACACTAGAACCCTGGGCTGGGGGTGCCTGTTGTGGGGCTGGGATCCCTCACTCCCAAGATATCCCTCCCAATTTTTATCTACTACATGTGGATGTGGGACCAGCCCATCCATGTCTTTGCCCCTCCTACCAGTCTAGATGTGGTTTCTTCTTTAATTCCATAGTTGTAGGACTTCCATTCAGCTCAATTTCTAGTGGTTCCAAATAATGGTTGTTTTGTAGTTTAGCTGCAATTTTGATATGGTTGTGTGAGGAGGCAACCTGTGTTTACCTATGCAGCCATCTTTGCTTTCTACCAGATTTCTTTATTTTTGATGATTTCTTTAAAATTCGGTGTTTCATATCAATAATTTTAAAAGAATAAAATTATTCAAAATAATCTGGATAACTCATATGTTCATGCTCTGCATTGCATTTTCTTCTTGTATGAATATGTATTCATTCATTCAGTATGTTGATTTTATGGAATGATTATTCCATTGTGTGTTCATTATTTCTAGCTGTGAATATGTGTTTTTTTTTTCATTATCTGGTTATTAGGAACTATGCTGAGGCTGTTACCTTTAACACGTTTCTCACACTGGGGTCTGTGAACCTATTCCTTTATAGCTACAACCAATTTCAGAACCAGCAGATAATGGCTTTGTGTACAGATTACTGCCCTTTCCAATGTCTTCTGTTTTAAAAAAAAATAACATCTTTATGGAAATATAATACCCAATTAAAGTAGTTTCTTATATCCTCACAGGGTTGTCCAGTCATAACCCCAATCAGTTTTAGAATATTTTCATTACTCCAAAGGAAACCTTGTACCCATTGTCAGTCACTTCTCATTTCCCACCAAATGTGCACACAGTCTCATCCCTACATTATAATTCTGCATGTTTCACATAAATATAACAGACAATATGTATGATCTTTTGTTACTGGTGTCTTTTACTTAACATAATGTTTTCAAGGTTCACCCATGCTATAGCATACATCAGTACTTCCTATCTTTTTTATTGTTGAATAATATTTCATTGTATGGATATACCACATTTTACTTATCCTTGTTAGTTGGTAGACACTTTTCCACTTTTGGCTATTATGAATAATGTTGCTATGAGTATTTCTGTACAATATTTTTATGTGGCTGTGTTTTTATTTCTCATGGGAATTTGCTTAGAAGGGAAATTGCTGGATAATGTAGTAATTCTGTTTAACTTTTTGAAGAAGTTATAGGATGTTTTGTGAAGCAGCTGTGCCATTCTACAGTCAGACCAGCAAAGCACAAGGGTTTCAGTTTTTCTACATCCTTACCAACATTTTTTATTTTCTGTTTTTTATAGTCATCTAATGGGTGTAAGGTATTTTTTTGTGGTTTTGATTTATATTTCCCTAATAACTAGTAATGTTGAGCATCTTTTTATGTGCTTATTGGTCATTTGTGTAGCTTCTTTGGAGAAATATGTATTCAAATTCTTTGTCCATTTTTGAAGTTGTTTTTTGTTGTTGTTGAATATAGGAATTCTTTATATATTCTAGAATTAATCCCTTATCAGATATATGATTAGCAAAAA